TACATACATTGGGCTTAACCATGATTCAAAAGATATTATTGATTCTTGTTGATGATTTCAACAATGTAAATGTTGGTATTAATTTTGCATTTCAAGGTATACATTAGATACATTTATAATGAATAAAATTACTTCATGTAGTATTTTATCTCCCTATTTATTATTTTAAAATTTTGAGAACAAGTGATTATTCTGGTTACGACTCTTCAAATTTCTTATTTTTATAAATAATAAATATTGATCGGGTAATTAATATATTTAAGAAAATTTAATTGGAACTTACTTATAGAATGAATATTTTCTTAGCCAAGTATAATTTTTAAATTACAAATAAAATAAATATTTTGATTACCAGTAAGAATTCCGTGCCTCGGGCTATAACTTCTAATATTATTTATTGCTGTTATACTCTGAAAACAACAAAACATATTTCAATTTTCCACATTGAAAAACCAATTTAATTGTGTGAACATTACTTGAAGATGTTTGTTTCGTACAGCAAATATTAAAATGTCTGTAATAATTGGACAAAATCCATATAATTATCCTTCCAATGTTTTTTATTTTTTGAAGTTTTACATTCGCCTTACAAATTTGGTTGAATATGCAAGTGGCATTTATTGAATAATTACTTTGATGAATACTAGTAACTGAAAACAACAAAACATAACATTACCATTTTCAGCATTGAAAAACCTATTTAATAGTATGAACATTACTTAAAGATGTTCGTTTTGTACAGCAATAGTGGAAATGTCTTGATGTTATCCATTTAATTTTTCGACCAGAGCTTTTTATTTTTTGTATTTTAACTTGCACTTTACAAATTGGGCAAGGTATTGTAGCATTGAACAAATCATTTAAGGCTTAATCAAACAGAGAGCGGTCTGCCAGCGAGGTCACTCGAGCAATGTAAAATAATACAACCGGACTGCTGCCCGCCACGGTCAGCATACCGTACACCATGGCAGGCCGCTCTCTGTTTGACTAAGCCTTTAAGGTTATTTTTAATTAACTACTAGAGAATACATAATATGTATTATGTTGAGTATTTTTGATGTACCTTAAGATGTACCCTAAGAAAGTGTTCCAGAGTCCAGACAGTAAATAAAAACTGTTTATATCCATAGATAATAAAGAATTCATTATTATCTATGTTTATATCACTAGAAAAAATAATGCCTTATATCACTATCATGGATGAAAAATATAATTTCAGTTTGGCTTGGAATAAACAACAAATTACATTATCTGGCCTCTGAATTAAAATTTTTAATATTACAATATTATTAGCATGAATTAAAATATTAAGAGTAAAGAGTATATTTTAATTCGTGATTTTGAGATACAAATACAATTTCACAACTGAGTATAATAAAATGACATCAATTTCCAATCATATTGTGTACTTAGTATATTTAGTAGGCAGTGGTATCTATTTAGATTATGAGTCTTAACATGGTACCTAATTATAGTAAGACAAAAAGTAACAACATTAAACTATATTATACGTATGTATTATTTATGTGTTTAGGTAGTTGAAACTTGAAGGTAAGCTTAATATAAGATTTTTTATTATTATTCTCCTAGACTCTACAGCCTACAGGTCAACTTATCGAACTTAAATAAACGATCTTACCTATAACGATTCATTATTTGAATAATTAACAATGGAAATAAATCATTATATGTTATTTTTTATTTTCGATGTCCATAAAATTGAAATCTTTATCTCAAGTTATATTGTGAAATTCAAAACAAAGTACTAGGTACCTATCGGCTATCATACCAATATAGGTAATGTATAATATAATTTACACATATAATTAAAACAAATTACTGAAATGTTGTATCCAAGCAAATTTTTTTTTTTTTTTTACTTTGAGCCCGGCAACTTAGGCCATTGCTGTTGGTTTTTGTTTGTTTGTTTGTAGGTAGTTAATAGGGAGAGGAAAGGTTGAACACGTTTTGCATGTGTGGCAAAAATTCGTTGCTAAAAATCCAGGGTGGTCACCCATCCGGGAACTATAGCAACGACGGTTTTTTCGTACACTCGATACACTTAACCCAACCTACACTCGGCGGGTGGACTCCGGGTTGACCCCCCCCCCGTATAATATTAGGTATATGTTCCGCAGTTGGAATCCGCAGTTGAGTGTACGCACTGCGCCACACCAAGCCACTTTATTTTGTTCTAAGTATATAATATTATGATATATATTTATTTGGTATAATCGTATAAAATATAAAATCAGAAATTATTTTTAAACTAAACTGAGTTTTATATTGTACCAAAGTATTGTGTATTATTTATAACATAATTACCTATTATTAAGATATCGATTGTGTAAATTGCGATATTGTACCTAAGTCTCTCGCATTCAACAACAAAAAACATTTATATTTCTAACATAATAACTAATTACATTAAAATATTAATATATTATATAATTGATATACCTTTATACAAATATAATAATATTTAGGTAATATGTTTGATTATATAAAACAGGTAGTCAATCTCTATTGATGAATATTATATAATAATATTATATTTTATATTATTAATATATGCAAAATTGGGTAAGTTACTTTTTAAAAGTAACTAAGTAGGTACGTTACTAGTTACAAAATAAAATAGGTAACTAGATTACTTGTTGTACTCAACTACTCAAGTACAAAATAAATGCGTAACGTTATATTTTTTACTCAAAAGTAACTACATAGTTACAATGACGTTATTCTTATGTTATTAGCGGTAATCCGTACATTACCGTCTGTCCGTATGTCGATGTACATAATATCATGTTATCAGTTAGGATCTAATAATAAATAAACTATATCAGTTGCTACCTTTATAGACTGTAATCAAAAATGATTATAATTAGTTAAATTAAAAATAATATTAAGACAAAATCGTTTATTTATATAATTATTTTAGATTATACTGGGAAAATGTTGTAATTACATAAATACCTACTTAAATTATTAATATAATTAAATTTTCTGATGTGGATACGAGGGGAAGGACTGTCGTGAAGTAGCAAGGCGATAAATCCTCCCCCCCAAAAAATAAAAAAATAAATGTATAATGTAACCCTTCTGCTAAGTTACTTCTAAATAATTAACGTAATTACTCTTGATTTTCTTGATAAATTAATAACGAAGTTACTTAACGGTACTAAAAAGTGTAACTACGTTACAGTAACGAGTAACGCACGTTACGTTACTACCCAACACTGAATATATGGACATAATATGGTATATTGGTCTAAGCAGTACCTACCTTATGATAGAAAACTATGACTATATTATCATGTAATAATAAACTGTACAACACAATTGGTTAATTCAATAATAATTTTCTTCAGAGACCAGTAGACCACGTTTAATTGGTTAATTTATATTTTCCATGATCAACATCCCAAAAAAGTAATAATATTTTAGTATATTATAATAAATTATAATGTATTTATCATTTTATGTATACCTAATATAGGTTCCTAACCTTGTTTGAGTGTCTGAACACTTAATATTTTATAAGATTTTTGCATAACACAGCCGTAAAATAAAACAGTATTTATATAAGTTTTTAAATTTATAATATATTAAAAAATGCATATATAGCACAAAACAGTTAACATATTAGTCACTACAAATTATAAATTTAATGAATACAATTTAAAACAATTTTAGAATCTGTGGAACACCACTATGATATTATAGGCCATTATGGTTTAAGTGTTAAATTGTGTCACTATTAATTTTTATTATTACCTATATTTAAATTTAAGCTATTTATTGTAAATATATATATTAAAATATTAAATATAATAGTTATGTATATTTTACACTATATGTCTGTACCAGTGTACCTACCGGCTACCACACTGTATATTTAAAATTAAATTGGAATTATATTCTGTTATATAAAGATACATTTGACGCGGACCCTATGATTGAATCACAGTTGATAGTGGTCCGGTCGGAGTGTCTGGTTTAAATTGAGGTGATGAAAAAACCACAACACAAATACTTAATGAATGCCACTACAATACTTAATGAATGTATTATATTACGACCAAATATATGAATACATGTCGTGCCTCTCGAGCGATGATTATTAACGTCGGACGATGTGCTATCGGTCCGACGGTCCGATGGTGGATATCAAATCGCCTTTTCAGCCGAACTTTGTACGTCCGGCTTTGGTCCTTTGGTGACCGGCTCGATGGGAGAGTCGAGCGGGTCGCGCTGCTTGCGTTCCGTAGTGGTGATTGGAGATATGATAGACAGGCTGCAACAGTGCTTATACATTGCACTTGCTACTAATTATAAAAATACAAAATAGCAGATTAGTAGGTACCTACTTATATTTATATTCTAAAAAATATCATATTCGTAATAATAGGTCATAAAGTAAATGAGCTGAGGCAGCACATTGTAAAATAATACTTAAGGACGTAAGCACCTAGGTAGAAGGGCAGTGCTTGCTTTAACATTGTAAAAATTCTAGCGTCTCACGTATCTTAAAATCGTGGCCGTGCCTAACACGGTACTCGTCTCCAATGTGTTAAGTTATTATCACAATTTTTTTATTTTTTAAATTATCAAAATTAGCTTGAGCAATACTTATTCTTAAGCATCGATTATGAATATGGTCGATACTACTCTAACTTCTAAGCTTACTGCAAAAAGTATAATTATATTAAACCATATTAATTGTTAAAGATTAAAACTAAAATAATGGTTTTCTTTTTCTCAAATGTAAAATAATGCATAGAAATCACAATCAAACCTTCAAAACACAATACGTCAATAAGTAGGTACCTACATGGCTACATGAACGAAAATGATACAAAACAATATAATATTAGTCATTCCACTCAATCCAATATAAAATTTGATACTTGCGTTGTAACGAGACAGTGCACCAGCTAACATCATATTTCTCATATTAGTCACGTATTCAACGACGAAGCGCTACCAGCAGTATAATATCAAAACACGACGCACATAGACAGCGTGGTATGATATGTCTGAGCATAATATGCCGCAATGAAGACGTATATCGACCTCAACGTGTCGCCAGTGAATAGTGGAAAGGCTGTGGCATCATCTCCGTGCTTATTTGAATGCCTACACAGGTATGGAGACGGTTGATCCGGCTTTGTACTCGAGTGCTTGACACTGCATTTATATGACCGGTATTTGGTGGTATCTTGGTCTACTCGGCTTGCTGGGGACTTGTCTAGTCTACCCAGAGAACCCTCAGTCGGATAACAGACATGTCTACGTCCGCCCTGCAGCCAACCACCATTTACGTAAGAGAGGTTTGCAGTGTGTATTCTCGTTACCACCCGAACTGACAGTAAATCTTTGATATAAACATAACTTTTAAACATATCCATTCCTTAATAAATTTTTTTCGTCAATGTTAAGTCACATTGTGATATAAATTAAACTAAAAGAAAATATTGTACACATATCAAATAGGTACCATAAATATTGTAAAAAGAAAATAATAAAGAAAACTGTTTGTTAAACCTGTAAACCTTCAGCGTTGTCATTTCGGTTAGATACAACATTTAAATGTTATTAGTTTGTTGGACACCAAAAAAACTTAAAAACACGAGGCGAAGTGCTGTCTGATCAAATAACAACACTTGGTGTTCTGGTATTACGTCTTCTGAGACTCTTCTCTATACTTTACATATAACATATGTATATTATAGATATATATATTCATTATACAATTGATTTAGGTAAAGTAAAGCTTCGACTCTAACTGTAACGACATGCATAGATAAGCGAGCCGGTACATGCCATTAGATTATACGAGAAAATGTATACATAATAATATGTACCTAATAATAATTAGTACCGACCTATTAAAAGTTTTAAATTTATAATTTTTTTTTTTTTTTTTATTGATCATGAAGCCCAGCAACTATGGTCATTAGCTGTTTTTGTTTTGTAGGGGAGGAAATTGTAGGTTTGTAAACACGTGTGTTTTTGGTTTGGCAGATTTTTTAGTGGGCACCCGTAAGTATCTGCCATATGGCGGCGGCACTTATCTCCGGACACCGTGACCTAAGAAAAATGTTATCCGCTGCCGGGTTCGAACCGGTTAGAACTTTGGAAATCGTGATAATTAGGTAGATGAGTTTTAAAAAAAACTGATATGTAGATAACCTATTATAATTTTTGTATCCATTCGATAGATGACAATTCGGTCATAAAAAATGTTCTAAAATAATAATTCATACCTAGTTCGTCATAATATTATAAAGAAAATACCTATATAAAAATTACAATAAGACATATAACATTTACATCACGAACGAGCGCATTATGGCAGATGCAATAAATTCAGCCTATATTCAAAAAATGTATTTTATGTTTAACACTGAAAGAAAAAAGATATGGCCAAATATTTAAAAATAACAAAATGTATGATATATTGGCTAAATAGCAGAACTGCAGTGGACACAAATTTAAAAGACCAAGTTTCTATACAGAAAAAAGAGAAAAATTTAAATTTAAGAGTAAAATATTATATTTAATATGATTTCACCATAAATAAATAAAATAGTAAATAATTAAAAATCAAATTATTAAATGATTTTTAGTGAAGGCCAATATTCTTAATTTGAGTTTTAGATTACCATATATAGAAAAAAACTATAATGGTTGTAGTATAAAAAAAATTAAGTAAAGAAGTTATAACGAACGACCATGTTGATAGTATAAGTTATAACATATTACATACTTATTACGGTAAAAAGTAAAATTCAAATATTAAATTGTGTGATATTAATATATTATACAAATATTATGTTACGCATGTAATTTATAAGATAAATACCACTTAAGGTACCATTTAAGTTTTATTTTATAAATAATATAATGTGCAGTGGCGCATTTACGATTTTTTTTTTGGTAGGGGGTTTAATTGTAATAAAATAGTTTTACAAACTAAGGGTTGCCAAAATAAACCGCTTATAAATTATCTTTTTTTTACTCTGGGGGTCGGAATATTCCCTTACTCCCTCTCGTTCTATAAATACGCCACTGAGTATATAAATATACATAAACTTTTATTAATTTGTTAAATTATAAAAAACTTAAGTTACTCAGGGTTTAGGAATAATTATAATTAAGTTGTATAAATATAAAAATATATATAGGAACTCCCGTATGATTGAAAAATTTTACAAATGGCGATTTAAAGGTGATTTAATTTTTCGTCTATTAATAATACAATGTCAGCACTTGCTCTTTCGAAAACATCAAGTCTTGTACTAAAATACTACCTACCTACTATTATGTAGCTGGCATCCTTCCGTTCAGCTGCACGATCCCGGGTATAAGCATTTTCCGCCAAAATGATACCTTTCTGGCGGAAAGGGATCTCACCTCACGTATCCTATTTATATAAGTTCTGGCGAATTCAAATCAGTTTTGCCCCTCACAACTACATTACAATAATATAATTGTCTAAAACAAAACAAGACACCATAATGTGAAATTTCCATACAGAAAAATTATATTATACATTACCTATATTGTTATTTGTTTTGTCAAAATGTCAACGTTAACAATGTGTAGTGGATAGTAGGTAGTTGGGACCTACCTAATTCGTAAATCGTAACACAGTTTATATATAGTAATCGGTTATACTATCCATACAAATTAATATAACAACTTCATCAGAAACTTCCATTATTATCCAATTCGAATCCATCGAAGAATGTCAGAAATATTGGTTAAAATTATTTGGATACAAAATAATTTGGACCTTAGAAATTTAAGAGTGAACATAAAAAAATTGAAATATCAATCTGACATTAAAATAAAAGAGGAAGTAATCATTATTACTCGATCAAGAATAGGCCACCACATTTTACACACCCCTATCTCATCAAAGAACCAGTGCTAGTATATACGCGATCGTAGTGATGTATTTAGGTATTTGTCATGGTGGGGCTTAGGATTTCCGAAAATTGTTTGCATATTTTATTAAATATTATATTATAAATATTCAAATATAATTTGTATGAAAATCACAAACTTAGATACGTAGTATAGACTGGAATCTGCTTGTTAAAACGTTGTTTCTTTGTAAGGTACATTGTTAAATTATTAAACCTAACAGTTATGAACTGAAATAAACTAAATTTGATATGATTATAAATTTTTGTTTAAAATAAAATAATGTACCTATATTCAAATTGTGGCCCGTGAAAAATGTTATATTTATTTTTTGATGTTTGACATCAAAAAGGTTGATGACACCGGGTTTAAGATTTGACAAAGAAACATCAGTGCGATTTTGCTGTATGGCGATAGGTTTAGACGACATGGTATAGATTTTCGAAAACACTTTGCAGTATTATAGCTGATAAAAGTCAGTTCCTATATGGAAGTTTCACTTGTAATTATGTACATAATACAAACTCCGTAGCTTAATAATTATCGCGAACCAAATGTCAATACTGTCGCGAAAACTTTTAAGTAGCGAGGAGGTAGGTAAGTACCTATACACGGCCTTAAATACAGGATCTTTCGTCCTAATATTATAACGTCACATCATTATTTCAGTACTCGAATATCATTTTGTAGACTTATCGGGGGAGTATTTAAGAACGAAATAACTACATACAATATCATAGTAGAGGGGTGAGTCGAATGCTATATTCGCACAATATTATATAATATAACGACTGGCTGCGACTATGATATTTCCATATTTACGTTTTCAGTAAATCACAATTTACGAATGGTAAATATTGTTTGATCAAGACATATTATTACTATGATTCTCTTTACCAACGAGTTACAGACGACTAAGACGTTTGAATGAGGAGGACTTGATGTTATTTGAACGCTTAAAGGGGAAAATATTCATTGTATCATTTCTGAAAACATTTTATTTTCTACTTAAACCCGAATCACATACGCAAATCGAAAATCCCCAATAGGTATTTCCCATCACTAAAATAGGGGGCAATAAAAAAAAAAAAAAATATTATAAAATACATTATGATTTATGACCTATTTTAAAACACAACTTTGAACCATATACCTGCAATGATATGTAGAAAGTCGTAATAAAACCATCTGTATAAGATGGGAAGGAAAATTGAAAATGTTTTAAAAATAATCTGGGAATCAAAATTCAGATTATATACCCTTCATTACAACAATACAACTTACCAGACACCAGTGACATCCTGGGGAACCAATTCGGACGTTTCGGAACTAATTCGGCTACACCGTAAAGATCATATTATGTTTTATAAGTATCATCTGATTTAAATTTTGTTTTTAATTTAGAGGTTTTCAATAGGTTGAATGTTAAGCTTAACCCAATGGTATACGGCTGTACATAATTACAGGGTCATCATTTTTGATATTATTATTATTGTTTTTTTACAAAATAATTTTGCAATGAAGGATTTTAATTTATATTAGTTTGCATTTTAACACTCGCGCAATCAATTATGTCTTTGGTAGTGTTTATTGTTCTAGAAAACAATGTCATTTTCTAAAACGGCTTTTGTAATATATTGGATTTTCTCTCTCTCCCTCTCTCTCGGTGTCTCTAGTGTACTTATATAAACACGGCCCGAATAAGGCTTGCTATTGCAAAACTGACTTCATATAGGGTAGGTATACCTACTATATTAAGCATGATGTTAGCGTTGTGGTTCTATACACTGACACAGACAAAAGCTTCTGAAAACCAACTCGTTCACATAATATAAGAAACATATTATATATTGTTATTCGTGAATCTCAAACAACGAGCTACGTGTTCTGGGGTCCCGTGTTCACCTTCATGCTACACAAGCATTTAAAATAATTATACCGTGTTCAATTATTATTTCCACCAATAATCGTCACCTGAAGTTGAACAAAAGGCATAGATTATAATAATATATTACAATACACTTAGGTACAGCGTAAAACTTTTTATTTTGAGGTTGTAAATCCGTCTGAACAGCCATTCGCCAACCTACAATAAGTCGTACGAACAATACACATCATTTAATGTCAGTTTGTTATTGTGATAAGTTGGCGTTAACGTTTTAGAACGACATATTCTAAGACTGTCAAACGCCATAAAAATCTTATAAAATATATTATCATTACTCATATAAGATTTATGTAAAAATATAGTTTGTTGAGTTCAAAATAAATTAAATTCAAAATTTATAAACCAGTATATTATTATAATATATAATTAAACATTTTAAGTTAATAGGTACTTTTAAGTTAACCTATCGACCATTAATAATAACAACAAATACGTACAGGTAGGTACCAAATCGATATGACACTATACATATATATTATTATTGTGATATTAAATAATAATTACGGAAAGAAACTGTAATATACCTGT